TTGCAGACCGCTTGAGCGGGAAAGTCTACACTCGAGCAGATACCTTTGTCTGCATTCACGCTCGAGCGGGGAAACCTACGCTCGAGCGGGACCTCTGTTTTCTGAAAATTCTGAAAATATTTTCTAAGTGTATCTTTGCATCCTCATCCCATCCTAGGCATTCTTAGGCCTAGTTTAAGACATCTTAATGAGGATATAGATGTAGAACACACCGAGGCAAATTAGGGATTAAGTTATTATCTTTTCCAACTGTGTAGTTTAGTGTGTGTTCAATCTGTAAACTGTGTAGGGTTGGCGACTAGAGACGCGTTCTAGCTTATCTGTAGCCCAGAACTCGGTGAGTAACAACTGTGTAAAGATATGTTCAAAAATGATTATCTTCTGAACAATTGAACTGTACTGTTTCTGAATTAATACTGTTAATAAAATGAATGTATATTCTCTATTCTAAACTGTATTGTGGCATCTTTAGCAACTACTGTTACTGATTGTTACTGTTACAGAGATCTCTGTCGGTTTCCTTGTTGGAACCACTACTGTTTACTGATTGATGACCATCATTGACTGTTCGATTTTTCAAGACCTACTGTTTACTGTACTGTTATGCTAATGGATGTACCACATATGACTGTACTGACTGAACGACTGAAATACTAATTAAATGAACTGTTTTCATTACTGTAAGGACATTCATTCTAAACCTCTTTACGCATTATGTTATTCACTGTGCTTTAGCTCACTGCTCATATATATATGTAGGTGTACAGGCACCAAACCGTGGCTAGAAGTGTCGGGGTCAGCTCCAGTTTTGTCAAGCCAACCACTGTGCCTCACTGCGAAGTTCCGAGCCTGTCAAGCTATGGCTTAGGGGTGTTTTAATTTCCCCCGCCTGTCTCTGTAACTGTTTTGTTAACTGTATAGACTGTATAGGCTGTTACTGTACTGTTAGTAGGGATTAGGTCCCTGATCCGAATGATCATAATGTTGTGCATACTGTTCTGCACTGTGTACATATATATGTATATGTATGAAAGTCTTTTTGGCATATAGACTGTCACAGCTCATTGGACATTGTTTATTTACTGTTTTGGCTTCCGTCATGCCCCTGTACTCTGTTTTACTGTTAAGCAAGCCTTCGGTAATCTCGGATTATTGACCGGTTACGGTGTTAAACCCATAGGGGCGGGTTTGGGTCGTGGCAATGCATGCATGCTCATTTCATCATAATTTGAAGTTGTTTTCAAAGAATTCCCTCTTGCATGTCCTCACTTTGACCTTGGTTTGAGAATTCAACATATTTTTAAGTTAGACACCTCATTGGATCATGTTTTGGAAGCCTAGAACTTACACCTTTACATGCATGATGTATATGGTTATGTTTTCAAAGAATTGGGTTTGGTTTTGTATACATCACATGCTCTTGAACCTTGATTTTGTGGAATTGATTTTGAATTCGCCATGTTTTCCAAGTTTACAAGAGTTTCCTTGAGTTTTGGCCCAAAGAACCATAATTTGCAGCTTTAGGGTTGAATTTGAAGCTTGGAAGCCAATCTGAAAATTCCAGAATTCTGTTTCCACGCTCAAGAGACAGATTCTGCACTCGAGCGACCACCTTCATTCTCACACTTCTGCTTGAGCGACCAAAAGTTGGCTCGAGCATAAAATACATGCTCCAAAAAGTTTTGCAGGTCGCTCGAGTGACAAAAGTTGCGCTCAAACGAGGGTATGAGTCTTACACTTGAGCGAGCCTCAAGCGAAAAAATCAAGCGACCAGCACTTTGCAAAAGTTTACAGACCGCTCGAGCAATAAAAGTTGCCCTCGAGCGACCACTCACATTTTGCATGTCCGCTCGAGCGAGGACCCTGCTTTCAGCAAGTTTTGTTAAGTGTCTTCAAGCGTATTTTAGCATCCTCATTGCATCCTAGGCATTCTTAGGCCAAGATTAAGACACAATAATGGAGGTAAGAAGTAGAAACACACTAAGACAAGAAAGAACCAAGTTAATGATTCCAGATGTGTAATCCAGTACGTATTCGTTCTGTATCTGTGTAGGTCACACGCCACAAGATATCTGAATTGCCTACTTTGTCCGCTTACTTGAAGCCATATGTTATCTGTGAGTAATAACTTAGTAAAGCTATGTTCAAGTTAAATTATTTTATGTATGTGGAACAAGAGTTGTTTTACAAAATGTTATGTTTTGTATTATGAATGATTGTCCAATTCTGACAAATATTTGTGACATTAAATCTGTGATTCAAGTATGCTATCTGTACCCGGATCGGAGGTTCCGTTATGGAACTGACAAGTTATCTGTACCCAGCTAGAGGTTCCTTCATAGAATTGACAAGTTATCTGTTCCCAATTCGGAGGTTCCTTATGGAACTGACTAGTTATCCGTACCTGGCCGGAGGTTTCTTATGGACCTAACAAGTATGACCTTTGATGCTCTGTATGAGATCCATTAGCACTAACGGATAAGTCATGTAAGATTAAGCATGAACTCCGGTTTCTGTATATGTTTAGAACAAGAATACGAATGTGAATCTATTTCGATATGAACTTTGGTTTCTAAATTAGTTATGGGATATCATTCATTTAACCCTTTGTTCTGTTATTAATCACTGGGCTTCCGCTCACTGTACTATTTATGTATGTAGGTGAGCAGGCACGCGACCAGGCTTAAGATGATGCTTAAAGAATTTTGTGTCGTCAGCCACCCTTGTGTGCCTCCCGAGGAGGTTCTAAATCATGTCAAGTCTTGTGGCCTTGTTTTGTAAATGTTTAAGTCTTTGTTCCTTTTGGTTTGTTTTACGACAAACTTTCTATTAATTACACATGAAGTGGCGTGTGGCTACTGTAACTTTTGACGTCTCGCGTATGTTTATAAAAATTTAAGACTATCTGTCTCATGTATGTCTTCATAGCTCAATAGACTATGTATATTTTTGCATATTGCTTCTGCAACCCCTAACTATATGTTATTCTGTTAAGAGACCTTTGGTAATCCAAGGATTACTGGCCGGTTACGACGCTAAACCTATAGAAGCGGGTTTGGGTCGTGACGCTCCTCCTCCTCCTCCATCACCAACCATCATCTCCTTCTCCTTTGTTGTCATCATCGTTGCTCCTTGCCCATCATTTATCTGCTAACTTCAACACCATAATCCTCCATCATTGATCTGCCATCTTCAACATCATTGTTGTCGCCATTTTCCTCCATCACCAATCTACCATCTTCGACATCGTCGTTGTCACTATCTTCCTCCGTCACTGGTTTGGGATGCAAAGTGTCCAATCAGTGCATTAAAAGGTGTTATTGATTTTCTACAAACATGTAACTAATCTAATAAATTTGTTACTTAATTCAGTGATAAATTTGTTACTTAATTTATGAATGATAAATTTGTTACGCCTCGTTTGGGAATATGTTATTTTAGTAACTTTTTGACTTTTTAGCTAAAATGTGAAGTAAAAAAAACTAGTATGTTTGGAATGCCTTTTTATTTTTTTACGAAAATGTGTGCAAAAAATAGAGAGAAAAGAGAATTTTTGACTTTTTAGTATGGGTTGTTAGCTTTTTAATTTTTTTAGTAACTTTTTAGTTTTTAGGCTAAAAAATAATGTTGTCCAACGAGACCTTACACTATATTTGGGAATCTATGAGAGAAAAGAAATGAAATGATTACTTAAGTTATAATAGAAAAGAAAAGAAAAAAAAAAAGGAAATGATTGTGATTTCTCTCCTTCTTGTTTGGATAAGTAAGAAATAAAAGAAAATAAATAATTGTGATTTCTCTCTTTATTGTTTGGTTAGATTTCATAAGAGAAAAAAAAAAATTTGTTTTATGTTATATTACTAAAATAACCTTTTATATTTCTTTTAATTATTTTATTTCTTTTATATTTACAGGGACAAAATTGGTATTATGAAAATATAAGAAACTGTTGGTTTCTTTTCTCTTCCAATCTCTCCACTTTTGGGAAGATTGAAAATGGGGTTATAAGAGAAATGGGTTCCTCTCAGTTTCTCTCCACTTAAGTTATTCAAACAAGTAAGAGAAATACGCATCTCTTCATTTCTTTTCTTTTCTCTCCAAATAACCCAATCCAAACATAGTGTTAATTTGTTACTTAATTCAGTAATAAATTTGTTGTGATGCCCCATCTCTTTCTCAGATCAAGTCTGCTATGTGTAAATTTTTTAACAAATTCATCAGTGATAAATTTATCACTAGCTTAAACAAATTTATCACTGATTTAAACAAATTTATCACTGTTTATCACTTGTTTAAATAATATGGAGTTCTGAACTCGTCAATGTTGACACACCCATCTCCATTCATGTCGATTTTCTTGATCTCTCTCAGATCTAACATCATCTCTTTCAAATCCAAGGGCCATAGAGACAGTTCTCATGTTCACCAATACCAACGAATTCATCAATGGCTCTGGAGCTCGTCAATGTCGACACACTCCATCTCCATTCATGTCAATTTTCTTGATCTCTCTCAGATCTAACACTATCTCTCTCAAATCCAAGGTCACAGATACAGTTCTCTTGTTTACCAATACCAACAAATTCATCAATGGCTCTGACAATTCTCATATTCACCAACACTACTAATAACGAATTCATCAATGACGGTTGCAGTTCTCATATTCACCAACACCACTAATTTATCAATGGCTCTAGTAATATAATAGCAGGGGCAAAATCGAGATAAAAAAATATAACAGAATTTTCTAATACATAAAATAAAAACTTAAAATCTAATGAATAATATATTAATGAATAATACATCCAATTATTAAGATCGACTGATAAAAATTATTTAATTATGCTTATTACATTAGTTTGCTTAATTTAAATTTTTTTACATAAATAATTTGTTGGCCCATCCCATCCCAAACACCCACGTCTGCCGGCGAAGCCCAAATGGAGACAAAAGTCTTACTCATTTGGTAATATATAATTACCATTTGGGGATCCCAATTCCATCAGTCAATGTTAGACCTACTCTCCCAGATTCCATATCCATATATCCATATCCATGTCCAGTGTTTTGGCATTTTTATTTTATTATATTTTATATACTAAACCAAAAGCGGCAAACTACTCGACAACCACAATAAAATTCGCATACGCAAATGGAGGAGATCACCAGCTCTGTGATCGAATATTCTCTCAAGTCGTCTCGTCTTCAAAGAGAAGGAAGATAATCGAAGACGATGAGAGGCGGAATATGCTCGAGATCGCAGAGATCGCTCGAATCAGAATAACAAAAACACAGATCAGCAACTGAGATTGGCCAGTTCGCAGAATCGCAGCTGATTTTCCGGTGGAATTCCTGTGCTCAGTCGCTCGAATTCATATACCGAACTTCCGGAAGAGGAGATCTTCCAGGTAATTTCGAGATTCGGTTCCTCAATTTCACTATCAAAGCGATATATATTCTTTACTCTTACTATAGTTACTCTGTTCTGGTAATCTTTTACTTTCAACAAGTTATCATCAGATTTTGAGTTCTCACTATCAGATATTGCCAATAACATCAACAAAAGTAATTCAAGACATGGTAATTGTATGGATTGTGTATAATCTTTAGTGTAAATGATACTAGTTCACAAATCATACCATTGAAATCATCATTTTGGTCCTTAATCTTTAATTTGTATCAATTGTATCCCGTGCTCTATCCATCGTCTAAAAAACATACGAAAAATACTTACTGTCAGTCTCACATTGAGCATTCGAACGGCATTAGGAGGAATTTAACTCATTTTTTTTGCCTAAAAAACCGTGTGACATGTGAAATCCACATTATTTACAAAACAAAACACATCCGGCTTTCGTTCCATTACTGACAGTCAAGTACATAGTGTGGTTGGCTCTTCGATTAATATTATTTGGCATTCTTAGATGTGTTAAATATCCTTTACGCCCTTTAATGTTTAATGTGATGTTGACGTAAGCATTTTGCATCTTAAGAGAAGGGATTACATCCACTGACGGAGCCAAAAATTTAATATAGGGACACCTATTAATTATAATTTCAAAATTTTTCTTTCCCAATCAATAACAATAACATAATAATAATTTTTCGTGCTAATATTAAACACAAAAAAATAATATTCATTACAAAAAAAAATTAATTTTAAACTTTTACAATTGATCCCGATGAGTTTTCATCTTTTAAAAGTTTTCCATGATAATATCTTTGTCAATGTTATCAAATATATCTCTCTCAATGTAGACAACCAAGCTATCATTCATCTATTCATCACCCATTCTACAATCGATTCTTCACAATAATCATAGCTGAAAATACCCTTTCAATAGTAGCAGTTGCAACAGGTAAGATTAATGTTAGCGTCAAGAGCAAATACACCAATGTTCTTCTAGCCTCCACCATTTTCTTAGCAAGATCGGCAATTCTATTCAACCATAAGAACTCACTACTAAATAGCATGTTGACAATATAAGTGGGGCTGTCATTGTTGGTTGGGCTGTGTGTCAGTATAGCTAGGACTAAAAAAAAATTTTAATTTAAATTGAAAAGTGGGGTTGTGCCGGTGTTTGGTTGGTTGGGATTGTGTGTCACTTAAAAAAAATATTTTTTTTTTTGAAAAGTCAGGGGAGGCACGTGACTCCCTAGCCCCTTAGTGCCTCGGCCCCTACATTGGATTAATGTGTGAGATTTGGGGATGAAATTGATACAAATTAAAGATTAGGTACTAAAATGAAATCAATAGTATACTTTAGGAACTATTTATGTAATTTACCCTATTATTTATGATTTTTTCATGTATAAAGCAATGGTCAAATGGTTAAAAGTAGCCCCTTTGGCTTCTTTGAACATTGCTCTCGAGATCTTTGTGTTGCATGAAATCCTTCTGTTGTCTAATGCCCACTTTGGCTACACACAGTCTGAATTCTATGCAAGTTTTCATGAGTTTGTTACCTTGTCATGCAACTTGGAAGTTGGAATTATCATAATTATGTTTTATAGGATTTGTTTTAAGGTCTATTCTTATTTATTGTGAATAATATTTGCTGTTCACTGTTTCTATAATTCCATCCAGGAGTCTCAAGCATGTTCATGTCTGCATGCTCACACACTGCATATGCACAGAAAATTATCAGATACTTTCGGAGTATCATGTGGAATTGCTTACGAGGTACTTTTGATAAATGAGACACCGCCACACTAAGTGAGTCATTTATTGTCTCTCAACTACCCAACAAAGGTGAGTCAGCATATTCCACTCATAAAATTTTTTGCTACATGATTTGGCTTAGAGCATCTCCAATGGTTAATCTTTTTTTTCATCAAATCTGAGTAAAAAAAGCACCATTTTCTTAATCTGATGTAGGCTGCTCCAATGGTTGTCATCAAAGGCAGGGGTCGACTGGTATGGCAAATATATATATATATTTTTTACTTGTTTGAAACTGAATATTTGAACTGTTTGAACCTTTTACCGATCGACCGGTTGGTCGACCGGCCGGACATCCAACAGGTTGACCGTGACCCCACTTGCAACATTACAACACAGTGAATTGGTGAAGGCTCACGCAGATTCTCAATTTGATAAAAAATTTGTTCCGTTCTCAGTTTGATATCGGTTTGGTGAAACCATTGGAGCAAAAAAAGTAACTTTTTTCATCAAATTCAAATTTGATACTGAATTTGATTCACCGTTGGAGATGGTCTTAGAGCACTATATAGACAATGTCATATACTAAATAATTAGCCGTGTGTGCACTTATTACGTCCTACACTACCTCCACTTCTCCCTCCTAAGTTTTTTTAATTAGCATCTAAGAGCCCTAAACAATAGGGGTGGGGGTGGTTAATGGGTTCAAAACTACTTTACCAATTGTATCCTAAATGTCAAATTGGAATGAAAAGAAATTAACATATATTTTTAATCTGCAAGCTATTTTAGGAAAGTAAAAAACTGAGGCTTCAAGACACCAAATGAGGTGTTTCCTTTTTAATACAGCATAGAAGATACAGATAGATAGTATACATTACTACAGTCAGCCAGGTGTTGTAATTTTATTAATCATTGACAAATATAGTAATTGGGCTATGGAATTTGCTGGCATTTCTTCATATCAGCCATTTTGCTGGATGGTGGTGGGACTGCAGATGATTATGATAGAAAAGTAGCTGTATGAGGAGGTTGGTTGTTAATTTATTCTTCAGTGAATCAGTGGGTTGAGTTATTCCACATATTAAAGATTTACTCCACGTATCTGTCTTTTCTCTTATTTTTGTATACTTTTTTGGTTGGAAGGCAGGAATTGAAGCATGGTTGGACAGACGAAATAATCTCATGAAGCCCTTGGTTGGGTCCTCTTGAGTTGTACATATAGTTTTTGAACCCACTCCCAAATTGTGATGACAAATATTTTACAGGAAAAAGTTGTAAGTTTGCTTCACTTCCTCTGCTTAAGATTACAAAAGCTTATTTTTAATGATTGAGGTACAATTACAAATTACTTAGAGAGAGAGAGAGAAATTCCTCTCCTTTTTATGTATTTTATTATTTTGTTCCTCTCTTCAAACTCAAGTTGGTTAGTTTCTATCCTCCTTGAGTTTGCGGGGGGGTGTTAGAATTTACCATCACCTACCACCACTACCACCTCACCTACTCCACTAAACCTAACCCACTACACCACTACCACCTCACCTACTCCACTAAACCTAACCCACTCCACTAAACCTAACCCACTACACCACTACCACCTCACCTACTCCACTAAACCTAACCCACTACACCTACATCTATATAAGGAACCATTTGTAATAGACATTATATCAACAAAATAAACATCAATCAATAATACATAAATTCTTACACTTAAGATTACAAAAGCTTATTTTTAATGATTGAGGTACAATTACAAATTACTTAGAGAGAGAGAGAGAAATGATTGCGGATTAATTATGGTTCATGAATACAATAGTACAAAGAGGTTAACATGATAAAATGTAACAGACAAACTATTTTGTATTACAGAAAAGCTATTTTGTTGCTTTGTCACTTGAGAAAGATTCAATTCTTCCCCATCATGCTTAGTCCTTAGCTTTCCGCATAGGTTGTTCAAGCTTCGCAATGGAGGGTTGTTTGTTGAATAGCCTATGTAATCTATTGGGATTTATTCTACATCCCACCAATGTGAACGGAAGTACACCATACACACATCAAAGAGAAAAAATCACACACACATTTACATGATTCGGCCAAAATTGCCTACATCCACTAGAAAGAGATTCCACTATGATAAAAATAGCGAATACAAGTGAGATGGCCAAAACACTCAAAATCTGCACCACTTCCGAGCCCGTGCTTGCGCGAGTGCCCTCATGGTATTTTTTCTCTAACCCTTACATCTCTAATTTTGGAACCCACATATGTCACATGGTTGGACTAATTCTAACATAATCCTTCTTAATTCAATATTTTCACCTTGGATACAGGGTTGTGTTGGGTATTCCTGTGCAGTCTGTGAGAATATATTGTATATATGGCATGATTGTGTATATATGCCATATATACTCAATCATATATACAATATATACACAATCATGCCATATATACAATATATTCTCACACCGTCGTCGTCGCCAGTTTAGAGCTCAACGTCTGAGATAGCTGAGGAATGGTTTCTTGGAAACAGGTATGAACTTCACACACCACGCAATTGGCCATGATAAGGCAGCAATTGCAGTGCAAAGTAGCCATTGCCACCAATTCAATTTCTCTGTGTCAGCAAATTTCTTCAGGAACTCCACCATCACAATCTGAAGAACAATAGTTATTCCCACAATCCCCATAAACAATCGGTTCTTATGAAGACCTGTGAATACATTCTTCTTTTCTAACTTCCTTGCATTGAATTCATTGAAAACTTGACAGAGTACAAAAGTATTGAAGATTAGAGTGTTTTTTACCCTGTCATTCACATTAAAGATTGACTTGCCCCTGAACTGGAAGATCAAGAGGATGGTTATCTGGTATAGAGCTTGTGCCAAAAGGTTTCTCCACATAATGTTTGTTATGAGGGGTTCAGTCCGACCCACAGGTGGCCTGTGCATCAGCTCATCAGTTGGCAACTCTGTAGCCAGGGCCAAAGCACCCAAAGTGTCCATAATGAGGTTTACCCACAACAATTGAACTGCTGTTAGGGGAACTTCACCGGCTGAAACTGCTGCAATAAAGTTGATCACAAGAGCTGCAACATTTACAGTGAGTTGAAATTGAATAAATTTTTGGATATTGTTGTAGACACATCGCCCCCACCTCAAAACTGTGGCCACAGAGGCAAAATCATCGTCCAATATGACAATATCTGAGCTCTCTTTGGCCACCTCGGTGCCTTGAATTCCCATGGAAAGTCCTACATCAGCTTCTTTCAATGCTGGTGCATCGTTTGTACCATCTCCAGTGACTGCAACAACATGGCCCTTCTGTTTCAAGCATTGTACCATCAAAAGCTTATCAAAGGGGGATGATCTTGCCATAACACGGATGTGATCAACCTTATCCATTCTCTCTTCATGCGTGTAGTTCCGGAACTCAACACCTTCCACCACTTCTCCGCTGTTAACATGTTGATTAGGTTCAAGTATTCCACATTCTGTGGCTATTGCTTTCGCTGTGAATACATTGTCTCCAGTGATCATTTTGATGTCCACTCCAGCAGATCTGCAAACTTGGATGGCGTCCTTCACCCCTGGCCTACACGGATCCTTCAGTCCAACTATCCCTAGCAAGGTCAGTTCAGCTTCGTTTAGCTTTTGGTTGGTTTTTCTATCTTTAATTTCTTGCATTTCTTCCTCTGAAACTTGCTTATGAGCAAAAGCAATGCAACGAAGGCTACTTGCTGCCATTCCTTGGATTATCTTCTCGAATTGCTTCCTTCCTTCTTCATCTATTGGCTTAACATTTCCGGTGCTCTCATAGTAATTCGAACACATTGCTAATACCATCTCAGCAGCACCTTTCCAATGTACATGAATAGTGTTATCGGACTTCTTCCTCACTGAAACTCCGCTTCGTTTTTTCTCCGAATTAAAGGTTTCAACATGAAGTATTGTGTAAGTTTGTTTCAATTTCTCCATATCCATACCCAGTTCCAGGACAGCCCAAGAGAGAATAGCTTTTTCAGTTGGACTACCAAAAAACTCAGGTATAGACCCTGAAACTGGTTTGCAAACACTGCCAGTGGTATTCAAACCAACTCCTTGGCGGAACAATTCAAGGACTTTTTTGGCAATCATTTCAGAATAACGTTCTACCATGTCTTCTAGGCCAAGCCACAATTTGGTAAGTTTCATTTGATTCATTGTTAGTGTGCCGGTTTTGTCGGTGCAAATAACTGTGGCTGAGCCCATGGTCTCACAAGCTGGAAGCTTCCTGACCATTGCTTGATCAGCCATCATTCTCTTCATGGAGTAAGCTAGTGTGAGTGTGACAGCCAATGGAAGGCCTTCAGGAATTGCAACCACCACAATAGTGACTGCTGCGGCAACGATATGCACAACAGAATTGAAAACAGCATTTGTTTGGGTTTTACTACCATTGAACTCCTGATTCCCATTTTCATCTTCCGTGTTCCCTGTGAAATAACGAATTAACAGAACTACAAGAACTAGAAAAGCAACAGCAAGGCCTACCTTCCCAATTGTTGAGGTCAGTTTGTTAAGCCGAGCTTGTAATGGTGTTTGGTCGTTGGAATCGCGCGATATGGAGCTCATCATATTGCCCCAAGCTGTGTTCATCCCCACTGATGTCACAACCATCCGAGCATACCCATCTGCAACTTTTGAACCCGAAAGCAAGAACGGGTTCTGAGTGCCGTCAACTTCCACGTGGTCGCTCTCCCCGGTCATGCTTGACTCATCCACTAGCAAAGAAAGTCCCCGCAGGAACAGCCGGTCAGCAGATTTTGCTCACCAATCGTAAGAAACACCACATCTCCAACCACGATATCGAAGATGGAGATCTCTTGCCGCCTTTCGTCTCTCGTGACGTCAATTTTTATGTTGCTGCTTATTTTCGACAGCGTGTCAAACTGTCTTGCTTGTCTGAAATTGCTAATTGCAGATACAGCAACAACGAGAAAAACAGCTACAAATATACTACCACCCTCGTACCAACCTTGTCCCGCCCCCTTTTCTTTAATGCCAAAGCCGAGAGACAGAGCAGCACAGCCGAGCAGGATGAGAATGGTGATGTCCTTGAAAGCCTCCACCACGAAATAAATGAATCCTTTTGGGGGCGGTTTTTGGTAAGTGTTCATACCAAACATGCTCTGCCGGAGCCTAACATCATGTTCATCTCCGTGGATTCCATTTTCAGGGTCTGTGTCAAGAGCCTTGGTTAGCCCCTCAACACCTCCAAAGTCGGCTAGCGCATCCAAGGCTTTCTCCTTCACCATCTCTGCGAGTTTTGAGCGATCAATGCTGGGGAAGCAAGAATCGTCACCCTCTTCTATCTGGACTAAGTGAGTATTTTCATCAACACCATCAAGAATGACTGGTTCAATGTCAAGAATGGTACAAGGAGGATCATTGTTAGTCGTATTGGTTACAATATCTCTGAACAGAGAAACCATGACTCGGGAAGAATATATTGCTACGTAAGCTAGGCGCCATCTCTTTTGAGCTTTAATTTGAGCTTTAATCCTCTTCTCAGCAGCGGTATCTTTGGCAATATAGAGAGCAAAGTAAATTGCTGAGTAGGCTATTCGCCACCGTTTTTGGGCTTTGGTAAAGGTGGCAGCGCTGGTGTCGATGGTATTGAGAAACACACCATAATCAGAGCTTGAATTGAGGTTGCTGGCCATTATTAATGAGAACAGTCAAGAGGATGATTTGTGCGGCTGGAAAGAAGGATCTTTCTAACAATCTCAGCCAGCAAACCTTTAATAGTTGAATTGAGGCGGCACATTTTGGTCCCTGCGATGACTTTTTGTTGCCTGTAGCGTTATAAGTCTGACTCGTGACCCATGCAATAGTCTAAATTATTTAAAATTTTTAAAAATTATTAAAAAAGTTAAAATGTCATAAAAGAAAGTCCTATATTCATTCACATTCTCTTAACTTTTTGCATATTTGTTTCATAAGAACTAGCATATCACCCGTACTATGTACGGATTGTGTTTATAATTATCTATATATGTGAATTGTGATTTTTAAATATCTTCTTTTTTCTTTTTTTTTTCAAATATCTTCTTTTTTTCCTTTTTTATATTATATTAAAGTTTATTATTTTGATAATAATTATATGTGTGAGACTTTTTAATGAATTAAATGTCTTTTTTTTTATTATGTTATATTAAAGTTTAATATTTTGATAATAATCATATGTGTTATTTTTGAAGAATTTTTTTTTTATACTTGTTCTTAATGCATTAAAGTGTTATTATGAGTGATAATAATCATATGTGTTGGGACTTTTCAAGGAATTCATAAGTGTTGGATTTCAAAGAATTTT